TATTTTAAATGCTTAGTTTATCCTTTGTATTTAATCCGGAAATTTTCTATAACAAAGAGGACAAAGAACTACGCACGCTAACTCTCAATTCCTACCTACATTTTACACTCATTTAATTCAATACTAATGGCATTTTGGCCGTAAAATCTTTGTTGAATGCAAAGAACAGTTTAATGGAAATTGACTGATAATTTTAATACCAGTGTTAAATAGTACCCCTAATTCCAGCTTTTTAAATACTAGTAAAGGAGGTAGACGATATTTTTCATTGAAATCGGGCTTTAAAGCATCACCACATTTTAAAATATTCTTGGATATGAATAAATGTTCCTTAAATCTTTTCTTATGTTTTACTCATATAAAATTATACATATATTATTAATAAAAGATAATGTTTTAGTTGTAAACCCTTTGAACTTGGTGAAAAAATAAGCATTTTTGTGTTTCTTCTTTTTGTCTGTAAACATATCCCCCCCCCCTCCCGTGAAACACAAAAAGCTTTGGTATGATTTTGTGAAATGATAGTCCATATTACCTGTAAAAAGGAATTTTTGTTTCAAGGGTTGGGGGAAGATGTTTTAAAAATATTTTCCCTTTTCCGTTGATTTCTATAGTGAAAAACACAAGTTTTGCCAAAATTATAGAGTTATCTCTCTTTCTTTTCCCAAAGAAGTAATGTTTTATGAAAAGTCATATAAATATCTATATACATGTAGATATGAAAAATCATTCAAATGTGTTAACTTTTGAAAATTGACTTTCAGGTAGGCGGTAGAACAATACCTTCGTTCGCAGTTCTTTGACATTTTTAGATTGAAGGAGAAAGGTATTGTTTACAGTTAAAAATCCATGTAAACCTACAGCTGACATTTCCCCTGTGACCACAGGGGATCGCTCCTGGCGTGTAAAAAATATTAAATTTAAAAAAATCTATACAATATACTAAAACAACATAGTATTTCATATGTTTATTTAATAAATATTTTTTATACGCCAGAAGCAAGCCCCTGTGCTGTGACTACAAAATGCACGACCGAAGTGACGAAAGAGAAAGTAGACCTATCATGTATTTAAAAGAAAATATTAAAAATTACATGCAAGCTTTTTACAAAAAAAGAGTCATTACCATTATACTGAAAGGTTTTTCTTACGCTTTCTCTCTCTCTTTTGTGAATTGAAATCGGTTCATAAAAATGTCCGTTTTCCCCAAATACTGTGCAGATATGCTCAGTTTTGACAAATTCTTAGCACTTGAAAACACTTCTTTTATGAGTGTACTTTCAGAAGTAAAAATAAAATAATAAAAAAGAACAATTATTATAACTTACGTTTTCAACGAAGGAAGTTGTAAATATTAACACATTCTTGCAATCAGCATCATGTCAACATCCCGTTTCTAGAGGAGTGCGTTATCTACAATTTGTACTGAATTGAATTCGGATTATTTTTCTCACAGTTTATGAGAGAACTTGTCAAAATATATTTGAATACAAAACGATACTTATATTATTTATTTATTTATACTGAATTTATTTCCTTTGAATTTTTTGGGTTTTTTTTTTTGTAATTTTAATTTGGAAAGAACGACTACTCCCTCGATAATCTGGTTTTCTGCTCCGTGATCTTGACGTTAATGGACGAGTTTACAATGTTAAATCCCTGTAGACTTTGAATTTGCCGCCGTGGTCAATACACTGGTTGAACTCGAGACTTCGTATAAATGCAGGAAGTTTTGGGGGGAAACCTAGTTTGAAGGCCAAGGTATTTATACATTTTTAGATATGATGCGTAAAGTGAGGTCCTTGGTATCGTGGGACAGACTATACAAAACTAAACATTAACGCTAAAGTGACGTGGCATAACCAAACGTGACGTTGCACAACCCAAAATCACGACACATTTCAGGTAAAACCTGTACATAATTTCCCGCGACCGGAAGTAATGAGAACCGAAAGTAGAAAAAATAAGGTAAAACAATGATGTACAAAAATTTTTAATGTATTTTAAACATATAATAATGATGAATGAATCTTTCGGTCGAAATAAATTAAGATCACAAATAGATAAACACACATTTTAATAATATACAGTAAAAAATCGTTGCATCAAAATAGTAACAATATTATACGACTCCTGATCACGACAATGTCCATTCCCAAAAATATTCTTTTTCGCTGGTCTAATCATCTAATGTTGAGAGGGCTTATCATGGCAGTAGGAACTATAGCCGTGCCCCCACCTCTTAATAATTTTGCCGATATATAGATTACTATAGTAAATATAGATACTATATGCTTCTGCCCCTCAATAAAAACGTCTGATGACCTTTTTTATTTTTTGTTCTTTTATTTTATTTTTTTATTTTTCTTGTCAAGGATTTTTTGGTAGTTGATAACCCTTTTTTTGCTTGTCAGGAAATTTTTGGTAGTGCCCCCTCAACTGTCAACTGAAAATATATGGCTGTGCCCTCACCCCCCCCCCCCCCCCCAATTGAATTTCCTTCCTACGGGCCTGCTTATATTGGCTATGCCTGCTGCCTAATCCATTTATGTTTCATTACATAATATAAATATGTTCAAATCATTACAAGATTCTGTCCTTCTCAAATTGTCTTCCGTAAAAAAATTGTAATCCTTAGTGAATTAATTGATCGCCTTTTGTGTTTGTTTGATACATAAATTAAGTACCAAAAATAGTTTTCGTTGAGCACGATGTTTACGTACATGTAAACGAAAGAAACATCGATGGGTTAAACAGTCTCAATAAAATCAACAAACTTTTACATGTATGCACACTTTTTTCCGAGTACTCGGGTACTCGATCGGAAAATCGTCAATGTAGCTGATTATATCAAGTATTGAGCTATTGGACACTCCTATTTATTTAATGCAATGATTATTTGAAGGTCAAAATCACTCTACAGTACATTTTCCTGTTATACAAAAATCTCTACAGCTAAAAATATACACTACAGAGCATGTATTGAAAAGATGAGATATCAATTATAGATCATAGAATTAAAGATTAAAAAATAATTGGTACACATTGTAGAATAAACATGTGTTGCTATTTCGTGCCTCACAGGTACTTTTTTTCTAGTAAATGACATTATTCATCTCTATGAAAGTGTTTTATTTGACTTGTACAAAATTAGCAAAAACTAGCTGCGGTGAGCTTGCGTATAAGCATTAGAAGACATAAAACAACAATTATTAGAATAAAATTGTATTTATGTATTTAATGCGGTAATTTATTTGGAGCTTTTTAGTAGGATTTTATGTTTGTAAATTGTGAAAATTCTTAGATCCACGCCCTGGCTGATGAATCAATAGCTTTTAGCCAATGATGGTGTAAGGTCACGTGGTCAGAACAGCGAGACATTCAGTTGTATTTTGATACTCGCACGCTGATCACCGCTTACACGAGGCACGTCTATTTTGAAGACCCACCTCCACCCCAGCATTCCTACCCCTTAATATGGTTATTAAGGTGTCATGTAAAATTATATTTAGCCTATTTTGTTTTAATGTGCCATCTTTTTGCTAACTTGGCCTATTCTGTTTTTGATGTGCCATCTTTTTGCTAACTTTTTCTTTTGATGTTTTGGCCTATTTTGTTTTGATGTGCCATCTTTTTGCTAACTTTTTCTTATGATGTTTTGATTGTCTTGTTTTACAGGTACTTTTTTCTAGTAATTTTTGGGGGATCAGACATTATCATATTTTACGTAACTGATAACCAAAACTTGTGAATCTGATCCCCCTCTTGTGTGTTAAATTGTTTATGTTTATACCGTCATTTTAATAAATGACATTATTCATCTCTATGAAAGTGTTTTATTTGACTTGTACAAAATTAGCAAAAACTAGCTGCGGTGAGCTTGCGTATAAGCATTAGAAGACATAAAAGATATTCTTGCGCTGCGTGGTATTATTAATGAAACTAAACTAATAGAATCAGTTGCATCATTGTCTCTCTTCACAGTGCAACATACTAGTACCGGTATTTTAAATATAGCATTTTTATTGCAGCTGCTTCATTAGAACTAATATTACTATTGCGCATCGAAAACATTGATTTTCTTTTAGTGAAGATGCAATCTCTTGAAAACTAAAGATAAACATTTCATTTTTGGTTTGAATACCATTATTGTATAAACTAACGCATACCTACAGAAACAGAGAAACTCAGACTATTACACAACAGCGCGCTTCATGAAATACATCCACTTGACAAGTTTTTGTGTTTTACAAAGTTACTGAATGCATTCACAAACCTCCCCCCCCCCCCCCAAAAAAAAAGAACCTTAAGCAACCCTTACTTTGAGGCGATAATATGAGCCGCCATATGCAATCGACTCAATAGACACAGTGAAATCAAAATATAGGACACCACCATCTGTAACATCTGCTTCATATTTGGGGTTTTTTCCTGACGTAGACGTTAATGGCAAATTAATAGCTATATTTTGGGACAAACGAGGTATCAAATTTTTTACCGTCCTTTTTCCATTTCTAATTATCTTCATTTATTTAAAACATTAAACAACTCACATAAGATAGATAAATAAGATGGTTTAGAAAATCAATATTTTTATTACGCACTAATCATATGTTCCTTAACTTTCCCCTGCGCTTTATCATGTCTAACAAACAAAAAAGTGAACACCACACCCGATAAAAAAAATCCTAGTAGCGAAATAATAGCATTTTTGTGTTTGTTATTGAATTGTTATACTTCATACATTCATAGCTCAACACAAGAAAGAGAGGAAATTTTCCCGGGGGAGGAGGTTGAATATTTGCCATCTTTACAAGTAAATTCACCATGATTCATGTCACTTGATCATTTTCGAATTTAAAAAAAAAAGACACTTCAGAATAATAAGGGGGCTGTCTTTTAGAGTTTAAGAACACATCTTAGCAATGATACTTTATTGCATTATGATCAACTGTTGAAGATGCATGTGTATGTATTTTAGATTTAATCAATGAATATCAGAATGGTTAAATGTAAATACACTGTTTTTTTTTATACACAAGATTGGATTATCATACAGTTTGTGATTAAAATCCACTTTTTTAACGTTGTTAAAGCATGAATTTATTCGGTATATGGTGCTTTCTCACAGATTGAATACATCTGAGTGTGGCATGCCTTATTCCGAGCCTGAAATAAATTAGCTTTGTCAAAGGAAAGACAACTGCTCTCGGTTATATTGATAGAGGAACTCCCAATAATGTTGAAGTCAACCTTTTGTTTAGATTTGCTCCAAAACCAGTGCCCAGGCAGTTCCATCGAATGCCCTCCCATCCAATACCCAGCGTAGCTATCATAGTCCAACTTATATCTGTTCCCATACTGATCACGGCGAGTAAACTGGTGGATCTGTTTTCCTTCAAAGAAATTGACAAAGTTGAAGATTTTATACACGTGTGATCCATAGTGTCAGAAGATAGATTTAAACTATATAAACGTGTGATCCATAATGTCAAAAGACAGACAGATGTATTTAACTATATAATAAATTTATTTATATACATGTATAAGAAAAAATGATTTCAGGTACTCCTAAAATTTTTAATAAAAAACTAATGGATTTTAAAAAAAGACCATTACCAAAAAAAAAAAAAAAAAAAAAAAAAAAAAAAAAAAAAAAAAAAATGCGAACGATAATATAGTTCTCCCGCCTACCTCCAAGTCAATTTTCAAAAGTTAACATATTAATTTGAATGATTTTTTCATATTCATATGGATATTTATATGAATTTTCATAAAACATTACTTATTTGGGAAAACAAAGAGAGATAACTGTATAATTTTGGTAGAACCTGTTTTTCCCTATAGAAATCAACGGAAAACGGAATATATTTTTGAACTCCCCCCCCCCCCCCCGTAAACAAAAATTCCTTTTTTACAGGTAATATGGATTGTTATTTCACAAATTCATACCAAAGTTTTTTGTATTTCACGGGGGGGGGGGGGGGGGGATATGTTTACAGCCAAAAAACGACAAAAATGCTCATTTTTTTCACCAATTTCAAAGGGGTTTAGAACTTAAACATTGTATTTTATCAATTACATATGTTTAATTTTATATGCGTAAAACATAAGAAAAGATTTAAAGAACATTTATCCATATCTAAGAATATTTCAAAATATGCTGATGCTTTCAAGCCTGATTTCAATGGAAAACGTCGTCTACCCCCCTTATAAAAAGAGCTGGAATTAAGAATAATTAACTATTAAACACTGGTAATAGAATTATTAATCAATTACCAATGACCTCTTCCTTGCATTCAACAAAGATTTTATGGCCAAATTGCCATTAGTATTGAAATATTTCCATTTCTATTTGTTTTCTCTGTGATAACTCTGAGAAAGTTAGTTGAGTTGATTTCTTGATCATTCCACCGAATGCAAATTTCGCCAAGCGAAAGGTCAGGAACTAAGAAGGCCTTATATGCTGTAATTATCGTGCGGCTGTCTTTGTGTCTGACGCTAAGGAGGCCTAATATGCATATATTTCCATTTCTATTTGTTTTCTCTGTGATAACTCTTTGAAAGTTAGGAGAGTTGATTTCTTGATCATTCTAACGGAATGCAAATTTCGCCAAGCGAAAGGTCAGGAGCTAAGAAGGCCTAATATGCATGTAATTCTCGTGCGGCTGTCTTTGTGTTTGACGTCAGTGGGCGGGGACTATTGAAATTGACATGTGAGGCCTCGTGTAATTTAAAACAATTAGTCTACATTTTTAAAATCTAAATTTACAATTTTATTTCACAATGAAATGGAAATATAAGGAATCACTGTCTAGTTAGTAGAGTATGCCAGGGACATCAACGATAGTTGGAAACGTGGGATAATTTATGCATAACGGGCTTCGTCTGTTATGCAAATTATCCCACGTTTCCAACTATCGTTGATGTCCTGGCATACTCTACTAACTAGACAGCGATTCCTTGAATATATTATTTTGTATGTCCCGGATTTAATACGATGTAAATGAAACGAGGACAAAATCATAGATATTCTAATATTTTACAAGGACAGATCAATGCAGTTCATGATTATTGAAAATGGCATTAACATGATTAACGAGCACAAATATTATCGGTCAGTGATTGTTCTGTGTAACTTTCAAATCAATCTGATTCGGGATCGTAACACATCGTTTACAAGCGAAGAAATCTTCGTTTCCAAAATACTGCGATACTACTTAATCTTATGCACAAAAGTCATAGACCAGGTGGGAAATGTTCACTTCAAGTCTCTTGTCAAAGTAACATTGCTTCCTGGTCAAGGCACACTTTTAGTACCACTTCAACGTATGACTTAATATGAACATATTATTTACCTAAAAAGTTAAATTGTAACAAGCTTAAATTAAACTTAGAGCTATTGGCAAACAGGCAGACAGATAAAAGAAAATTCGGTAAAGTGTGAAGCATAAAAAGCCCTTGCTTAGATAACAGACCTTCCTGTTGTCCGTGTTCGTTAAGATAGCCTTGAATAAATGTGTATTCCTCCGGAGAATCCACTTCAATCAAACTGCCATCAAATAAAATGCACATTTGCTTAAAAATAAAATGAAAATAGTCTTGAATTAATGATATATATATATATATATATATATATATATATATATATATATATATATATATATATATATATATATATATATATATATATATATATATACGTGGAGGTATCCCATACTACCTTTATGGTAGAAATATCAATAAATTATTGCACAGTTGACATTTTCAAACGCTTAATGGTATTTCTATCATTAAGCGGTGTTTTATCATTAGCGATTGCTACACTGGTACCATATCTCGGCTAATTTGAAACTAGCTACCGATACTCTTTCCCTAAAAGGTAAACTTTGCAAAGGGATAAATTAAGGTAGTATGGGATACCTCCACGTTATGACGTATTTCCGTTTGAAGTATTGTTTTGATTTGCATGAGTGCTTATTATCGGGTCAAAATTTGTAGATACACCATTTAAAAGAATACTCTGAAGCTATTTCAATACTAGTTCTCACAAGTCGGCATTTTAAGTAAAAATAGACAAAACAAGATGTGTTTGTGAAACGCTGATGCCCCCGTATGGCAGCTTATGGCGAAGGTTAAAGTTTCTTCAAATGCAAGTCAAAATCAAGGCCAAAAGATAAAAAATGTTGATACCCAAAGAAAGGTCTTGTCTCGAGGAATACACTTGTGAAATTTGAAAGACCTAGATACAACTGTTCAAAAGTTATGGCGAAGGTTTAAGTTTTTTAAATAAAAGTCAAACGTCAAGGTCAAGGTCAAAGTGGTTGGTATCCAAAGAAAGATCTTGTCACAAGGATTACATATGTGAAGTATGAAAGCCCTAGCACCAACCATTCAAAAGTTATGGCCAAGGTTAAAGTTTTTCAAAAGTAGGTCAAACTCCTAGGTCAAGGTCAAAGGGTCAAAGTGGTTGGTATCCAAAGGAAGGTCTTGTCACAAGAATTACATATGTGAAGTATGAAAGCCCTAGCATCAACCATTCAAAAGTTATGGCCAAGGTTAAAGTTTTTCAAAAGTAGGTCAAACTCCTAGGTCAAGGTCAAAAGGTCAAAGTGGTGGTTGGTATCCAAAGGAAGGTCTTGTCGCAAGGATTACATATGTGAAGTATGAAAGCCCTAACTCCAACCATTCAAAAGTTATGGCCAAGGTTAAAGTTTTTCAAAAGTAGGTCAAACTCCTAGGTCAAGGTCAAAGGATCAAAGTGGTTGATATCCAGAGGAAGGTCTTGTCACAAGGAATACACATGTGAAGTTTGAAACCCTACGCCCCAACTGTTCAAAAGTTATGGCCAAGGCTAAACTTTTTCAAAAGTAGGTCAAACTCCAAGGTCAAGGTCAAAAGGTCAAAGTTGTTGGTATCCAAAGGAAGGCCTTGTCACAAAGAATACACATGTGAAGTTTGAAACCCCAAGCACCAACTGTTCAGAAGTTATGGCCAAGGTTAAAGTCTCATAAAATATTCCAAAAGTGGGTCAAACTCCAAGGTCAAGGTCAAATGGTCAAATATGATGGTACCCAAAGAAAGGTCTTGTCACAAGGAATACACATGCGAAATATGAAAGTCATAGCTCTAACCAATCAAAAGTTATGGGCAAGGTTAAAGTTGACAACAGACAGACAGACAAACGGACAAACAGACAAACAGATAAACAGACAAACAGACAGACAGGACAAAAACAATATACCCCCGGGATCTTTCGATCCGGGGGCATAAAAATTGCAAGTATATAAATTTACTTATAATTGTATTACGGACATTTAAAAAGCAAACCCCTGTAAAAGATAGTTTGAAGATTGTTGTTTTTAAACACTTTTAAGCAAAAGTTGTATGAGTAGCTGTAGCACCTTGTGTGCGGTGAGGCATCGACAAGTTCACATTGTGCTGAATTATGACCAATCAATTATCACGTTAACTAGAGCTGGTCTTCTTTGTTATTTAATTCAAGAAGTAACTGCTTTTTCACAAATCAGCTAGCTGTTGTATAATATAGTTCCAAAACTTTTACATGAATGCAGTTTGCTCTGAACGAGACACGTCTTGGAAAGTGGATGTCTTTGCATTGTTTTCAAAACAGTTCAAAGTTGAAAACTACCACTGCAACAAAGTGCGATTTTTTTTAAGTTTGGAAAAATGCTCATCATTTCTGAAATAGCACCCAGGTTTATTCAACCCTTGGAAAACAAAGAAGGATAACTCTTCCGTTCGGATCTTTTAATTAAAAAAAATTTAATGCATCTTATATTTTCCATTTATATATATATTTTCAAATTGCTTATTTCACTTTGCTCACATATTAAGATACATTCTAATTGTAGACCTTCATAAAAATTTATTCGTCTGTTTTCAAGAAATGAAGTTTTCCCATTTTTTTATGCTTATTATTTGTTGAACATTATAAAAAATACTAAGACATATTTCTTGTCTTTTTTCTTTTTATATTCACTTTATATTAGTAAACTCCTGCCTATAATATTAAGCTTTAAAAAAAAGAATTATACAAGAAAAAAAAATCATTTTTGTATTTCTCATTAAAATAATTTTGAAAATTATTAAAATTACAACTAAACATACTGAAGGGTGGGGGTATTTCAAACCCTCTTAATTTGGGTGAATAAATATGTAGGAGAAGTTTTGTTTTTAATCCCATACCACCTTAAATACAAAATTAATAAATTTTGTTTTCTTACCTGAGCTTCTATCCAAGAAGATATTTCATTGTTTAGAAGATAGCAAGAGTCTTCAAACCGTACATAACCATCCGAACACCTCTTAGTCTCTACAGTTTGGGAGGTGACGTTTACTGAGATGCCTTCAAATGAATTATTATGTAATGAGCGTGTAATTAATCAAAAACAACCGCGAATTAATTTTGTCTGTTTATCTAAAAAAAACCCGAAGATATCTTCATTAAATCTTCACAACATCACGATAGCAGTTGAAGATACATGCACTTAAAAAAACAGGAAGTGGATAGAGTTCATATTTGGATGGCTATTTATTTAAAACGCTTGCTATGTTTGTTTAACGTTTTTTGTATACATTATCTATGTTTTTCAAATATACAGTACCCAACAGACAAAACATGATTAAAAAAAAAAAAAAAAACAGCCCAAGAACCGTCCTTTGAAATACTTTCTGGCTTTGCTCTGGGACATGCAGGAATAGTAGTGCCAAAGAGGTCAAATAGCAGTCTCCTAGTAGTATAAAAGCTGTCTCAAAAATTGAGAAAAGAAACTAAACTCTTTCATGAACAATACTTGGATTTTCAGTGGTTCCGACAGACACAACAAACTCAGTAGGCGGAGGCAATTCAGATTTGTATTTTTAAAGGGTTTTTTGAGATTGATCACCGTTCGTTATCATCACCTTTTTCACTTTATGGATAGAGCTACGTCAAATTCAAATTATTGATAGATAAAAGCAATATATTGAAAATGTCACATATTTTCGTTGGTCTAAATTTTCGAGCTTTGAGGAAAAGAAATATTGTTTCCAGAGGATTTGATTTCGTGGTTAATGTAGTGCAGCTTTCTTACACATTTAAATTTTTACAGTTCTTTGAGTACATGGATTCATGGGTCTCTTCATATACCATGAAAACAATAAAAATTAATCTCCGACGAAAATTAGTGATTTCACAGTATGCTAGAACACTTTATGATAATATGTATTACTTATGGAGGAAAATTGTACACTTCACATTTTTAGAAGATATTTAACAGATATTCAGTTGTGTGTAAAAATGTTAGGTAATTTTATTCTAATTATTAGAAATGTTGAACGACGACTTGTTTCCCAGTATCAATTTGAAAACAATCATTGATATTAATTCGTCATGCGCTGTCGGAAAGACTGCTTTTTGGACTGCCTTTTTGTCTAGCTGGGCTTATATGGTTGGTATTGTTAAATACCCTGATCGTAGGAACGCTCAAAATAGAAAAAGAGTTTTTCGAAATGAAAGCTTAGAATATTTTTCAAATTCTTACGGCAAAGAAAATTTTCGTTAGAAATGGTTATCTATGATAAAGCAACAATTATTAGGAGCACATCGCAAACGTCTTGAAACGCTCTCTAGTTCTCTGAGTACAAACATATTTCTCCCGATAATTTATCCAGCATGAAAGACTAGATTATAATATAGATAACATAAAATCTGAAAAAGATTTTTTTTTCAAAGCATCGTACATCTACAATAAAATGATGTACATTATGACACATCAGTTTAAAAACTGCTATTTTCAACAAATCTAAAACATGTACATTTCAATGTCTTAAGGACAATACAAAATATTATAGTCACTTTAACTTATTATAATCTGTTGCAACACATACCGTAGTATAATTATGCTGTCTCTTTAACGATTGTAAGCATTTCATGCAGATTAAAGTCATTTGACATTATGTATTCATTCCTATTTCATCTTCTTTAACAGTGATTTTAACTTATTTTAATTAAACATTATAATAAAAAAAATGTTATGTCACTTACCATGGACTCCGCCTAAAATAAGGAGATAAATAATGAACATTATTTCAAATTTGAAATTTTCATTTGACTCGATAAATAAGAAGAATTGTTATTTATACTAAATCTTAAGGGTATAATAAGTACAAAACATTTTCGAAAATAAAGTTTTCTTTTCACACGATTGTTGAACTGCTTGTTCAGAGTCCAGTTCTATCACGTGTTGAATAAGCCATACCTTCAAAATTTTTAAAAACCATTTTTTACACTAAGTACTTTCTCATCTGCACTTTCGAAAAATGAACAGATTCTCATTACAAACTTCTTCCCGCGACGTCCCGTGAAGTACTTTAGTAGTGCTTTGTCCAGAATCATTCACTTAACAAAATTTATATCAAGATTCAATTACAAGCAATAATTAAGGGTAAATCTTAAGCAGTCGTAAACGTGCACATTTTAGCCTCGTGGTGAGGTCGCTATTTTCAAATTGTCAAGGACACCGGCAGTAAAAATAAAATCGAGAAACATACACTGTATATGCCTACTTCGAATTCTGTATGCCTGAACGATTTACTAGAGCCGGAGAAGTAATATTAACTAAGATATAACACATAGTTTCCATCTTCAAAAGCTGTTCGATACAGATAAGAGTGTATTTTCTCTATTTTATCTCTATTTTATATCTTTTATGAAAAGTGATATTTTCCAGCTTTAATTTGCAAAAACTTTTAATGGAATAGTTCGGACAATCATGATGTTTTTAGAGGCCCTTGTTTGATCTGCTCTCAATCTGCATTGTTTCAGTTCTTCCTTGAATCTTTTATATCCTGTGACGTATAAACAATGCACGAAGTATATTAATGAAGCTAAAAGATATGCCATGGAGCAGAGAAGATTTTCAAAAAAATAATGCATTTTCATTACAGATTCAACACACCCTTACTCTAACACTAAAACCCATGCCTCAGGGTAATTCATAAATTTGGTAGAGGTACCCTCTTTATCATAACTATGCACTTAGTTGAAAATTATCAAAGAATTAACATATTTAATACATAACACATGTCAAAGAACTAACACATTTAACACATAACACATCCCCCAAGGCCCCGAGAAGCACAAAAACCTGGGGACCACAAGTTTTAAAAAAAATTTTAAGAAACACAATTGTTCATCATAACTATGCATTTGTTTATCTGCTCAGCACTAAGGAGCAAACAGGATTATTTGACAGAATTAATGCAGTTTCACTATATTATCAATAGAGCCCCACCCTTACACCAGAACATCTGAATTAGGGTCCATGAAACTCACAATTCTGGAAGAAGCACTCTTGTTCATCATAATTACACACTTAGTTTCTTTGCTTTATAACCAGGAGCAGAAAAGAATATTTTCAATGAACTTATGCTTTTTCACCATATAATCAATAGAGCCCCCCCCCCCTCTCTCCAATCCTGGGGCCATGATTTTCACAATTTTGGAAAAAAGCATCCCTGTGCATCATAACCATACACTTAATTTGTTTAAATAATACCCAGGAGCAGAGAAGATGTTCAAAGAATTAATGCATTTTTCACTATATAATCTATAGAGCAGTGCCCTTACACCAGAACCCTGACCCAAGGGCCATGAATTTCATAATTTTTGAAAAAGGCATCAATGCTTATCATAACCATGCACTTAGTTTGTTTATATAATATCCAGGAGCAGAGAAGAAGATTTTCAAATAATTAATTCATTTTCACTATATAATCAATAGAGCCCCGCCCTAACACCAGAACCCCTGGCCCAGGGAACATGAATTTCACAATTTTGAAAAAGGCATCATTGCTTGTCATAACCATGTACTGAGTTTGTTTAAATAATACCCAAGAGAAGATAAGAAGATTTTCAAAGAAATAATGCACTTTCACTATATGATCTATATAGCCCCGCCGTAGCACCAGAACCCTTCACCCAGGGGCCATGAAATTCACAATTTTGGAAGAGGCAGTCTTGTTCTTCATAACTATGTACTTAATTCATCGGCTTAATACCCAGGAGCAGAGGAGAAGATTTTCAAAGAATTAATGTTTGTTTGTTTGTATGTTGTTTAACGTCCCTCTCGAGAATTTTTCACTCATATGGAGACGCCACCACTTGCCGTTGGAGAGCTGCAAATTGTGTCCTATACTCGGCACTTACGGCCATTGAGCAGTGAAGGATCTTTTTCGTGCCAGCACCTACTGCGACATGGGACCTCGGTTTATACGGTCTCATCCGAAGGACCGGTCTCCACGTCCCACAGTGGGATTCGAACCCGCGACGTAAGGATCAATTCCTTACTTCGCTACTCTAGAGCAGACGCTCTAACCACTGCGCCACGTGGGCGACATTAATGTATTTTCACTATATAATCATAAGAGCCCCGCCCTAACACCAGAACCCCTGACCCAGGGGCCATGAAATTCACAATTTTGGAAGAGGCAGTTTTGTTCTTCATAACTATGTACTTAATTCATCAGCTAAATACCTAAGAGCAGAGCAGAAGATTTTTTAAAGAATTAATGCATTTTCACTATATATTCATTTGAGCCCCACTCTAGCACCAGAGCCCCTGACCCTGGGGCCATGAAATTCACAATTTTTTAAAAAGGCATCATTGCTTGTCATAACCATGCACTTAGTTTGTTTGAATCATACCCAGGAGCAGAGAAGAAGATTTTCAAAGAAGTAATGCACTTTCAATATATGATCTATATAGCCCCGCCCTAGCACCAGAACCCCTGACCCTGGGGCCATAAATTTCACAATTTTGGTAGAGGGCCCAATGCTTATTACAATCATACCAACAGTTTGACCGCTTGATGTCCAGGAGTAAAGAAGAAGATTTTAAAATGAATTTTGGAGGTTTTATCCCCACCCCTTAGGCCCCAGGGGGGCAGGGACCATGAAATTTACAATTTTTGTTCCCCTTTACCCAAAGATGCTATATACCAAAATTGGTTGAAATTGTTTCAGCGGTTCTAGAGAAGAAGTTGAAAATGTTCAAAAGTTAATGCACGACGGACTAAGCACGACGCACGACGACAGACAAAAACGGATAGCAATAGGTAACTGAGTGACTCAGGTGACCTAATAATATATATCTCTACCCTGGTACCTGAACCCTGGGGTCATGAAATTTACAAATTTTGTACAATTCTCAATGCCTATCACAATCATACTAATATTTTGCCTTCTTAATGTCTTTAAGTAAAGAAGAAGATTTTCTAAGACACATTTCATTGTCTAAATATATCCAATTTTGACCCACCCAGGGCCTGAACCCTGCGGTCATGAATTTCACAATTTACGTAAAGAGCTCATTGTTTATTATAATTATGCTGACAGATTCACAATTTTGGAAGAGGCACTCTTCCTCATCATAACTATGTACTTTCTTCATCGGCTTAATACCCAGGAGCAGAAGAGAAGAATTTCAAAGAATTAATGCATTTTCACTATATAAACATTAGAGCCCCGCCCTAAAACCAGAACCCCCGATTTAGGAGCCATGAAATTCACAATTTTGGAAGAGGCACTCTTCCTCATCATAACTTTGCACTTAATTCATCGGCTTAATACACAGGAGCAGAGGAGAAGATTTTCCAAAGATTAATGCATTTTCACGATACAATCATTAGAGCCCCGCCCTAACACCAGAACCCCTGACCCAGGGGCCATGAAATTCACAATTTTGGAAGAGGCAGTCTTGCTCTTCATAACTATGTACTTAATTCATCAGCTAGATACCTAGGAACAGAAGATAGGATTTTTTTTAAAAGAATTAATGCATTTTGACTATATTATCATTAGAGCCCCGCCCTAGCGCCAGAACCCCTGACCCTGGGACCATGAATTTCATAATTTTGGTACAGGGCTCAATGCTTATTACAACCATGCCAACAGTTTGACTGTTTGATGTCCAGGAGTAAAGAAGAAGATTTTTAAAGATTGCCTTAATCTGGATGGTTTTAGCCCCACCCCTCAGGCCCCAGGCTGGTTGGGGCCACAAATTTCACAATTTTCTTTCCTCTTCACCCATAGATGTTATATGCCAAAATTGGTTGAATTGGTTCACTGGTTCCAGAGAAGAAGCTAAAAATGTTCAAAAGTTTACGACCGATTGACGACGAACGACGTATGACAAACGACGACACACTGGGTGAAATAAGCAGTTTCCCGTCATGGGAAACTATATGGAAACCACATGGAAACCTCATGTTTACATCATGTTTCCTAGTGGTTTCTGCAGCGGATGCCAGGTTATTCCATCAAGTTTCCGTACAACGGAAACTACTACGCTCCGATTCCATAAGGTATCCCGAACCACGGAAACCTCAGGAAACCTGAAGTTTCCCGAGCCTCCATGTAGTTTCCTGTAATGGGAAACCGGAAGATTCCACTGGTTTCCATAATTAGGAAACTATGTGGAATCGGAGCGTAGTGGTTTCCATGGAATGGAAACTCGATGGAATCCTCAGATTTCCCATGAGCGGAAACTAGAGGAAACCTCGTGATTCCTCAAGTTTCCATGACTCAGGAAACTATATGGAATTGGAGCGTAGCTGTTTCCGTGTGATGGAAACTTGGTGGAATTATCTGGTGTCTCATAAAAGGAAATTACAGGGAAACTTCAAGATTCCCTTATTTTTCTGAGACGGGAAGCAATGTGTAATTGTGGTGTAATAGTTTCCATACCATGGAAACTACAGGGTAGGTTGAGCATTTCAATTTCGAAAAATGATTGACAATCAACTGGAAGCTCAAGGATCCCTGTATTTTCCATGGTAAATCTTTCTTGTCTAGAATGTGAAAAGAGAACAGCAGGTTTAAATCAAAATATATATTATTCATTTCCTTGGTAAACTGTGTTTTCTTTTCAAAATCTATCAAGAAAATATATAAAAAGGAAAAAGCATTTTCAAATCATATGTTTAATAATTCATTTGATGTGCAAAAACATTATTTGAAAATGATATCAAAATAAATAAAATCATATATCTTGGTACACAATGAAGTAGTCTTTCACATCAAAAC